GCGCCGGAATTGTCCTTTAAGTCACATGCATTCTCGGTAATGGAGGCGCATGTGAAGGATAAAAGAGACGACGTCTCGATAACGCTGCTTTGAGTTTGATTTTGATTCTTCTTTTTTGTTTTTTTTACTGTCCATCGTACAGTAAATCGACAATGCTAAAGGAGTGCAACGATTAGTCGGTGGAGTACCCCTTATAAGTCACGTGTTCTTCAGTGAAAATCTGCAGTATACAGCCTTGTCTGTGCTTCAGTTGATGTGGATAACTAAGTTTGAGTGATTTCATTATTATTGGCTGTTGTTTATCTTTGTGGTTGGTGGTGAGAAAGGGCGGCTGACACAAGCATTGTTGACACCCAGAATTACATTTGAAACTAATGTAGGCACCACATGCTGTCAGTTCTTGTGTCAAACCTAAGTAAACTAAACTAAAAGGGAAAATAAATATTCATAAAGCTTAAGAAGGCAATTTTGTCTCAAGGGAGGGATTGTGTTGTGAGATGTTTCACTGCTGCCTTGGGATTTAAGTGATGGCGAGGAGACAGTGGGATGATATTCACTCATCTCTACCATGGTAAATCAGCCAAGAAAGTGTACTGAAAACTATTGATTTAGCTGCAGACCCACATTAGTTTTTGACAGGTTGCCTGGGTGCTTGTAATGGCCATCAGAAGCAATCTGAAGGATTACCAGAGTTACTTGCTTCTTGACAACCTGACTTAGTGCTGCAATGCAGACCCACGGCAGTGGAGAGAGAGAGAGTTAGACGATTTATGGAAATGTGTGGGGAGCCTTTGAAGATAGTGTTGAGAGTGTCATGCACGCTGTTGTTGTCATTCTTAAGCGACCCCCTTCCTGTCCATGGAGGCTGACTGATCTCAACACTGCACAGAGTGTGTGTATGTGTGTGTGTTTTGGTTCTAGCAGACAGCGCCTCCCTGCTGCGAAGCACAGAGTCAGAGGCAGCAGGTGCAGCTGACGCAGATAGGCTTTTTAGCAAGCAGGGCCAGTTGGGGGACAGAGAGGGAGAGAATGAGTGAGAAACGATAGAGGAAGAACCACAGGGACTCAAACAAACACATGATCAGACCACTGAACGGTACCGGACAAATGAATTTATCGCCCCTATTCTAGTCCTTGCACAGTATGTGAGAACGAAGGGAACAGGACCTGAACTGCCCAGTGGCACCAGACATTGCCTTAGCTTCAATGGTGTACGTGAGTAATGAGTGTTTTTAAGTATATGGTTAAAACTGTGCAAAGATTGCATGAAGGTCAAACAAGAAAACTGCATGACTGGACTTGTGTGAGGCAGTTTGTTTGTGTCTGATATTTTTTTTTCCCGAAGTTTGAAGAACAATTATGAAGATACCATGACCAGATTATTGCGTAGTCATTGTTAAGAACAAAAAGCTTCCAGAAAGCTTAAACTAATTTGCTTCTCTTGCCTCAACTCTCATAGACTCCTTCGCCATGCCTCTTGTAGCATTATCAGTGAGTGTGGAGGAACTGCTGAAAAGGACGTGGACTCTAGCTCTGCTTTGTATGTTGTCAGTAATGAGCCCTGACTCTGCTCAGCACTCCTCATTGTGTCAACGAGAGCCGCTGTCTCTGCCGGCCGAAGCCAAGTCACATAAAGACATACTGTTTGAAAGGCACAATTGTAGCAAAGAAAGCGATTGGTGGATCGTAGCCAAATAACAACGTTGAGATAGTGCGCGTTCTTGTGTGACGGGCCTCTGCGTTACCATGAAAAATGGCCCAAACTGGCCCAGCTCATTTCACCATGCTGAATAGTTGCAGTATTCAGAGCGCATTCCCTCAGTTTGTCACACTGTTGCTCTCCTTCCGATCAGTATTTGTGTGCCGGAATATTCACATTACATTGATCTACCTAAAACTTGTATTGTGCCGAGACCAGAGTAACCAAGGGAATGGCAACGCTCTGAATGCCCTTGATCGGTCTGCATGCTTTTCTCCGGCTGTAAAACGCATCCACACACGGGCTAACCTCCTCTCCCTCTCATCTCCCCCTCGTTGGTTATCCTCCTCCGCAGTCATTGGCTGCTTCCTCTCCATCTGTCCGTCCTCTCTCCACGCAGACAGCCATTCAGCGGTACGCCCTGGCCTCTTCGACATTTGTCATTGGCTGGCATGTGTTGTGAATGCGGATACTTTCCTTTAAGAGGCAGTCTAGACTCAGCTGGCTGTGCCGCTCTCCCTCTCTCTGTTGCTCTCTCTTGTTATCTTGCTCTCTCCTCCTCTCTCCTGCAACACCACCACAACCTGCTGATTTCTCACTAAGCCTCTCCTGCTCCGTCCTCTCACTCCTCCCGTCATCAGCTGTTCCACTCTCTCCTCATAATTTTATTTCCCTTCAATCACATGCTCACCTCCCCCTTTTTAGTCCCGTTTTTCTTTATTCTATTTTTCTCGAGCTTCTTCAACCCACCGTTTCTCTCTGTCCGTGTTTCTCCCCTGTACAGTCATTTTGTCTTTGACATTCATTCATCTCCACCACTTTCTCACCTTCCACTGATGTGAGGAGACATGAAGGTGAGTGGAGTTGTTTTTCAGGCTTTCAGGTCTGCCTTTGTGCCTGCCTGTCAGTTTTTTGTCTTAACCATATGTCTCTGTTCTTTAAGTTTATAAGCCATCTGGTGGATGTGAGCGTCCTGTGTCCTTGGAGGCACTGACTGCAGTTGTGTATGCTTCAGGTGTAACAATTAGCCAGCACTGGTAGGATGCTGCTGTGTGAGTCATCATCTGACGCTGCATGTATGTATGTTCTAGCTCGGATCCTTTCAGCATGTGCCTAGAGAAGAAGGGTTAGTTGATGGGAGGAAGTGGGGGGGTTGAATCAGTGCGTGGATAGTGCAGCCGCGTGTCAATGCAGACTGTAGCTCGTGACACAGTGTTTTGCACCAGCTGTGGCTGTGGTGCAGTGGCATCTCAGGCAGATTAATGAGCATTGTACAGCAGCAACAGCAAACAATTAGAGAAGTGATCACAGTAAGTAGTTTGCACACAGGTTTGCCTTTACAGCCACAACACATTTGCTTCTAGAAGTCAGCGCTGTAACAGGTAACATGCTCCGCTCAGGTTTGGATGTAGCTGAACAGGTAATTGTTAATATTCGCCACATGTATTGAACAATGTCCCTTTAAAAAAAAAAATCTTGACTTTGTCCTCTAGACAGTATGATGAAATCTTCCAGCACAGACAAAATGAAGACCTCATTTAGGCTTGTTTCCCCCATGTTGTGTTTTATTTGTGTCAGTGTCCTCATTATGTGTACTGTTTGCCACCTGACACCCACAGGAAGAAAATGTGTCTGCCAGAAATAATCCTCAAGAGCATGTTGCCTCACAGAGTGTCCCTTTCAAGTGTTTTTTTATTTTGTGTCGTTTATTTTAGATGGGAAAGCAGTTTATTTCAAGCTGAGTATGAGATGGTAAATGGTAAACAGATTGCTCTTATAATCCTTTTTTTTTTTTTACCTTGGCAGACAAAGCACTTTACTCACACACATGCTATGCAAGGTCTGTCTATTAGGAACAATTTGGGGGTCTGTGTCTTTGACAAGTGGACCGGAGGAGCCAAAGTCAAAGAATGGTGTCATTCCCAGATAGTTCAGTTTGTGTATTAAACACTAGCAAAATTAGAAAATCTCAAAGTTGATTGCAGTGAGGATTGGTGGGAATAATGGCATATGGAGTAGCAAAGAGACACAATATATGCTTCTGTAAAGGAAAAATCACTATCAATTATCAATCTACCATCTTCTGGAGTACCGGGATATGTATTGGAAGTCCTTCATGAGTTTCCAAAAGTGGTAAACCAAACTGCAAAACTAGGGATGGACGATATACCAGAAACATTTATCATAATAAAATCATAAAAAATGATGTCCACTTTATATTGATAATTATTGATGATTTGCATTTCCTACTTTTTAAGATCAGGTGCAAACAAGGTTGAATTGAACCACTTTATCCATCAAGGCCCACAATTAATAATTTGAATGTTAATGTTTTATCATACAGTATTGTTCCTGAGTACTTTTCCATTGGGAACTGCCTGTGGATTGTTTCTTGAAATGTAGAAGATTTAGGTCGTGACTGACGACAGGTTTGCGTACTGAAATGGGTGGAAGCAGCTTTGGTGATTCACTCATCACACGCTCCATTATCAAGGGGTATGATAGGCCGTTTATGAGCCAGGACATATTTGTCATGTGCTTAAAGTATCCACACTAAAATATAGCTAGACGTGCTTCTTGCATGAAGTAACATCATGGATTTCTCCTGGTGTCATAAAGTGTATCACCTGGGACAGCTCCCGCCTCCCCGGTGGTCTCCGGTTCAGCACCTTGGACAGCGGCCGTGACACGCTTGTTATAAATGACGCACCTGAGCTGAATGGGGAAGCAGTATGTCACACACTGTTGGGGGACTTTATTGTCTCAAACCTTTGTCATAGCTGAGCATTATCTTAGCTTGGAATTTTAAATTCACACTAGAGACCCAGAAGCTTCCAGACAGTTGAGGTAAAATGAACCTGCTTAAGAGGAAATTAATATTCACAGGGCTCTCCAACAAACCGCTTGAAACTGATCCATTATCAGTATTATAATGGCACAGCGGTCTTTTAAACAAACTGTGTTAGAAACCATTATAAACTGTGAAATTCATTTTGTTTGGTTTTGTTAGCTGCTGGCTTGCAATATGTGCATGTCTAAAAGATAACTATACATTAACTTCCTTATTATTCAGCATACTTTGTGCCCCTGCGAGAGAGTTGCCGGCATATCATCTGATTGAGCTGACAAGTCATTTCTTCCCTCTGGTAACATGAAGCCATTACTGCCAGTTTTTCAAATTAAATTCAACATTTTAATGTTTCATCTCCGGTTTATTTTCCAAAAAAATATAACCAGAAAAACAGCAACATAATCATGTAGTGCATTGTTACCCAAGTAGCACAAAGCAATTATGATCATTGCTGGTGAATCTGCATTATAGCACTCTGCTCATTTTCATATTTGCCACCCTGACTGAGCAGGTGTTACCAAAATTATGTTTTTGCAGTATAATACTCCTTGTAGGTAAAGTACAGTGATGTGGATGTGGATGACGTGTTTAAAAATCTTTGCTTCTGTGGAGGTTTTTTTATTCAGTTGACTTTTAGTGGTGTGGAAAAATAGAGTAAAAGAGAAGATATCCTTCACACAGGTTACATAACATTTTATGCAACTCATTTTGTATTATGTTCTATTAAGAAGCTTCTATAATAATATATCAAAGGACTTTCCTCTTAGAAGTTTCA